TCTTCATAAAAGGTTCCAAAATAATGAGGCAAAGTCATCCTGACTGCCATCTATGTTATTAGCCACCTGTACATTAGCGTTTTGACTTTAGAAATCTTCTAAAAACACTTCAAAAATTTTACCCAATAGTAAGTGTCATAAACCATCTGATTTCTTAGATATTTGGATGTGTTGCCTTCATTCATATTCATTTCCATTAAAGATAGAAATTTGATTATTAAGTATTGAAATGTTTACTTGTAGGGTACTCTTCCTTTCAAAAGAGGTACAACTGTTACCATCTGTTCACCTAAAAATTCTGTGTTTGCATATGTTATATTTGTTGAACAACCATCTTAGTTCACCAATCTTATTTTTAAGGAAAGTCTATATTAGAAAATAAGGATATAAAATTCTTAACATCCTTTACCAAACCACCTTTGTTACATAATCTTTTCCGACACACCTCAATACCATCAGTACAAGAGAATATTCAGAATTCACCAAAAAATTCATCTACTCAATAAATCATATTAAACCTTAGGTTTTCTCAATTGTATACAAGGAGGAGGATGTCGAATACTGAGCATAATCTTAGAATTGATGCGAGTTTAAAAAAAAATTATATAGTTGATTATGATATTACCTATTACACTTCATAAAAATACAAAAGAATGCACTAATACCCTCCTTATCCTAGTTCACAATTTGTATCATTGATAGATGCTCAACGTCCTATAAAAATTTTCTCACAATTTGAATATTGATTTTGTTTGTAATACAATATTTAAGGCGTTGTGTTGTAAAAATAGAAGAATTTTATAAATATGGAAACCAAGCACTTGAGCCAAACATGGGAAAGGATGGATATACCCAAAGACAATAAATTGGTGGGATGCAAATGGGTCTTCACTATCAAATATAATGTCAATGAGATAATTGAGAGAATAAAGCGAAACTAGTGAGAATTGCCCATACACTAACATATAAGATAGATTAATAGGAGACATTTGCACTAATAGCCAAGGTAAACACTACACGAATCTTGTTAGCATTAACTACTCATTTTGATTGACAACTAAAATAATTTTTTATGTAAAAGAAAGCCTTATTGCATGAAAATTTTGAAAAAAAAAAATTACATGGATATCCCATTAGACTTTGACAGAGAAGTAAAACCAAATAAGATATGTAAACTAAAGAAGGCAATGTATGGACTCATAGCGACCGCCAAGAGCATGGTTTCCTAGATTTGCAAGGGTGATGATATATCTAGGATTTAAGCAGATTTTAGGAGACCACACTCTATTCATCAAACACTCAGAGATATGAGAGTTACAATTTTCTTAGCATATGTTAATAACATTATTGTAACAAAAGATGATAAAAAAGGAAAAATGATACTAAACAGTGTTTGGCAAAAGAATTTGAAATCAAAAAACTTGATAAGTTGAAGTATAATCTGGGAATCTAAGTCGCTCGCTCAACATTTGAGATATTATTTCCTATCAGAATTACATTCATGACCTATTGAGAGATACTGACAATTTAGTATGCAAACCACCCAGCACTCTTATTGATCCTCATCACAATTTAGGAATAGTTGAAGAACATATGCCAATAAACAAGAAAATGTATCAGAAATTATTGAAAAATTAACATAACTATTTCACACGAGAGTAGTCGCTTATGCAGTGAATATTATAAGCAATCATACACAATTCGAAAAAAGTATACCTACAAGCAGCCTACAAAGTATTGCATTACCTTAAAGGGTCATTGGGAAAAGAAATTATATTCAGGAAGAGTGATAAACTACTCCTAAAATGTATTATTGATGCAAATAATGTGAATCAGTTATACACAGAAAGTCTATCACATGATACTATACCTTTCTTAGGGCAACCTAGTTATTTAGATAAGTAAGAAGCAAAGGCAATTATAAGCTCATGTATAGAATCAAAATTTCAGACAATAGTACAAAATATATGTAAACTACTATGGATAAAAAGAATTCTAGAATATTTTAGAATCAAGTGGAAAAACTTTATACACATATACCGTAACAACACATTAGTCATAAGCATCACTAATAATTTGGGACGACACGCCCAAACCAAATACATTAAGATCAATAGACATTTTATTTTAAAAAAAAATCTTGACAACAGTCTAATATGTACCTTATACACGCCTGTTACTTCTCAACTGATAGATGTGATAACTAAACATTTAAGAAATCCAGTATTCCAAGCTCTTATTAACAAGTTAGGGATGAACAAAATCTTCTTCCCAGCTTGAGATGAAATGTTTTAAAGAAAGGTTAAATTAGATTAAAGGATATAAGCATAAATTACACCTTTATAATTAATTAATTTGTTGTTTATTTTTTTTCTATCTTAAAAGACCTGCATATATAAGGATATAATATTAATAGAATATACATCAAATAATTCTTACCTACTATTAATAAAGGAAGATAAAGGAATTAAATAATTGAAGAATATGTCATAGCTCACATCTTATATTTTAATCGCATTATAAACTGATGGATACACTCTTTTATTCTCTATTGTTGGCTCATGATATTTCAGATATAAATGAATTGGGAATTGTGTTAAATCATTTGATAGAGATGTAATGATGCATAACTGGGTGGTATCCCCTTGGTGCCGATCTTTTAATAAAACATCTTTTATTTAAAAAATAAAAATAAAAATCACAAAAAACCAACAAGTAGTATTTTTGAACAACAGATCGAACTTATGATGGGCTTGTCGTATATAAAGGACAAAATATCCTCAAACACCTCCAAAAAGACATGGATTCAGAATCACAAAAAGAAAATATCAAGATAAGATAATATCTTCGTTCTTCTTTAATAAGGATAAGCAAATGTCTAAAAACAACCATGAGCCTCGGCTCATAAAGAGGACTAAAGCCAAGAAGGTTGATCCATCCCAAGAAACGTAAGGTGGAAAATGGCCATCTTAGAAGATCTTATTATTTCACTTCAACCATTGAATCTAAAGCCTGAAAGAAACTGAACCTTTTACAAGTGTTAGAAAATGCAGATTGCCAATTGGCCTGCTCGACCTTTAGTTGCGTCAACTTTGCTTGGTCTAAGCAGTCAAGGGACTTGGTCAAGCCTAAACACATGTGCAAGTTCTAGGCCAACTAACTCATTATGGTCTAGCACCTGTACAACCATGGCTCAAGCCCAAACTTGGCTAGGCCTAAGAGTAATTTAAAAGGTAAATTAAATTAAATCTGTATCAATCAATCAATATAGATAATAATAACATTAATAATAAGATCAATAAATTAATAACAAAAATAATAAAAATTATTAAAATAATAACAAAAAATTAAAAAACAATAAAAACAAAATTAATTAAAAATATATGGCAGATGGGCCGGCATGAGCTTGGTCCAAACAGCTACTCAGGCTTGGCACAAGCCTTGGCCGCCACAAGCTGAGCCTATGCGCTGGATCACATTGGAAAACCAAAATATTTATTATTTTTTGGCCAATCCTGCTTGACATGTTCCTTTTGGACATCTATAACCTTTGTAAAGAGTGCATTCTTTTTCACTCTCTCCACTTTTAACAAAGAAGATAACTCTCACGGAGAAAGTAGCTAGCCATGCCAAACCATATATATCAAAGAGAATTATCCAAAGCTTCCACTTTGCATCATAATGAAGGGATAAATGTTCATGTGATTCACTCTTTCTAAAGCACATGATACAAACATCCAGGAAGAAAACTGGGTTAAACCTAGGAACATGCAACAAATCATTAATGCTAAGTTTGTTAAGCATATTCCCACATATTTACACTATTGCTCAGAGGAAAAACATCAAGATCTGCGAATCTATTGTGGAAGGTAGTGGAGGGATGAGGGAGTGGCAAGTGTTTATGTTGAGAAACCTAAATGACTGGGAGATTGGTGAGTTTGAGGAACTACTGCATGCCCTTTCTCTTATTACTTTGAACGACAGTACTAACATTCCACAGTGGAAGCTCACAACAAATGGTTTGTTCACAGTAAAATCTTTCGACAAGAATATGTTCAAGTATGATGATAGTGGAAGCACATTCCCTTACCGACAGATGTGGAAGCCAAGAATACCCCCCATGGTTCGTTTTTTGTGTGGGAGACTAGTAGGGAATGTTGTCTGACTATTGATAACCTGAGGAAGAAGGGAAAGATTCTGGTTAGCATTTGTTATTTGTAAAAGGGCAGAGGAGACTTGTAATCATCTTTTGCTTTGGTGCCCATAACACACAGGCTATAAACTATGGTTTATGGACTGCTTGGGATCAGTTGGGTCGTGGCATTTTTGGTGAGGGAAGAATTTTAGGATGGAAGGGCATTAGTGGCTGCAGGAAGCAGGTGGAGATTATTCCTCTCACCATATTTTGGATGGTGTAAAAGGAGAGAAACAGGAGAATTGATGGGGTTGAGAATGTTGATGATTTGGATATACTTAAGAATAGATGATTCCAAACCCTTGGTTCTTTTGATATGGGGTCATCCTCTTTGTTTTATATGGAGGATTTATTGAACCTTATGAATAATTTGAACATGTAAATTCTTTTGCCATGGGTGGCACTCCTTTGGTGCCAATAATATACTTTACTGTTTATATTTCAAAAAAAAAAAGAAGTTTGTTAAGCACATATTAACAGGCAAAAACCTTAAGCTTAAAAGGAATGTCACCTCCCAAAAGCTAAAGATGAAAAGATCATTCTGGCTAATTAGGGTTGTGAGTGAGGTAAATTGAAAAGGATTTCGAGAGTCATTGCCAAGGTAGGGTCAGAATTCTGCCATTAGCATTGGATGAAATATTATGTACCTCAAGTATATTAAGCAAAGATAGCATATCCATAGACTCCCGGTTCATTCAAATTTTTAAGAAATGCAAGTTCCAAGGAACATTCCCGTTGAATTGATGAACAAAATTTTGAGTTGAGGCGTTATGACTTAAAGAGAGGTAATAAAAAGAGAGAAAATGTATAATGCCCTAAACCTAAAACTATGTACAGTACAACAGCGCACATTTATGGAATAATTCATATGTAAGGCTTAAAATAAATCTCAATCCAAGCCAAAAATCTACGCCAAATATTAAATAATTTATAAATCATCCAAAATGACGTTTCACTTCGAAGCTTAAAATTAGCAATTTCATCCTTCACAGGGCAAAGGAAGAAAAACAGAATATGTGTGCCAGAAGAGACAACAAGCGTAGGATGAAGAAGCCCAGAGAACACACTGCAACAGTTATGTTGCCAAAGACATGAGATTGCCAGCAATCAGAGTGGTGAAACCTAAAAGTTGGCGGTGAAAGAGCTTTTTCAAAACAGAGACATCATCTCTACCATTACTTTTTGGAAGGAATTTCTTGAAAATTTCAAGCACCTGCTTATCCTTAAATCTTCCTGCCATACTACACTGGATAGTCAAATGAAAGCAATGAACTGCACAAATGAGATGCATTTAACGTGTAAAGTGTTCCTCCAGAGACTGCACCAAGCATTGAACTGAGTGACTTTCATGGGTTCAGTACTGTGGTAACAAAGATTTCATTCACCCTACAAGTTACTCCTTTTGAAGTTATTTATTATAGGTGACCATGTTTGCTCGACTACTGGCTAGATGCAACTAAACTAGATGCAATTGATCTTGAACTCTGTAACCATGATTTTTCATTTATGACATGCATGATCATCTTCTTCAAGCTTAAAAATTGCTGTGAAATATGTACATGATAGCCATCACTGTGGGGCTTAGTTTGGTCTGAGAAAGAAATTTTTCTTGAAAGTAAAATAGTAGGAAACTATCATTGGCTGCTAAAGTTCCAAGAAGTTCCTTCCCAAGTTTTATGGTTCCTTTACAGCTGTGGAAAAAATTTCTCAGTGTTGCTTATAAATTAGATTTGTAGATGCAGCAAGTACCCACCTTGTGTTTCATGTCTTTCATGATACTTCGATTAAGTCTCTTTGTAATTTTACTTGTATGGCTTTATACATGGGTGACACCCTCTTGGTGAATTTTTACTACATTTCTCCTTATCTCTCAAAAAAGAAAAAATGGTTCACTATCTGAAAGCCAACATATAATGTGTGAAATGCATGCGTAAAACATGAAAACAACACCAGATATATATTTTGCAAAAATGTGCTTCCTTAATTCAATCAGCTTAAGTAAAGAATGAGTATACCCAATAAACAATTAAAGAAAGAACAGTATGAGGAATTACTAACAAACTTACCAGATCAATTGTCGATGTACGTCCACAGTTGGCCGGCACTTCACCTTTACATGTTCCAAAGGTAATGGGTCAATAACAGCAGCCGGAGAAAGGAAAAAACAAGTTAAAAGCAAGCACAATGAGAAGATTAAACAAATAAAAAATAAGCACAATGAGAGCTATATTGTTTATAGAGTCAGCAGACTCCAAAAGACTACATATATTGCTTCTGCCTAATCTTCAGCTATTAGGGTCAGACCATCTGTTAAAACCCGGACAGGTATAACTTATTGGAAAGACATTGCAATTAGCTCATATTAAGGATAGCAGATTATGTTACTAAATCATTTCACATTTTCTTTCACATCTTTCATTTGCATCAATAGATTATGGAACCACCAACGAACCAAGAGGTTATTGATACCCCCCTAATAAATTACTAACAATAACTGACTCTAGCCATTGGCAGTTACGTTGTGCTCCTAGACCAGAAAGGCAACCCATTAATTAAACAGAAAACAGAGATTCAACAACCCTGGTGCAACATCTCTTCAGCTGATTCAACACTAGAAAACCAAAACACACAAACCCCTATGCTTGCTAATTACTTCTGAGAAATCAGACAAAAGCCATCAAACACTTCAAAGAGAAATCCATACCGCAATTTACAAGGTTTTGGACTCTTTTTGATAGAAAAAGAAGATTTATCTGAAAATTGCACTCTAGATTCATCTCCCACTTGAAGTTAGGTCAGGGATTGGAACAAAGGAAGTATTTCAGAGATGGCTTCCCAAAGACTGGGCTGGGACATGGGTCTTCCTACTGGGGCATCCAATCAGCTCCTGCCATTTTCATGCAAACTTCTAATTACTCTATACCACAAAGAGTTTGGTTCTCGGGGAAAGCACCAAAGCCATTTAGTCAATAAACATAAGTTTTTTTATCCAAAATTCACAATATCCAATCGACCTGAGATCTTGGATTTGCAACAAACATCCCAACTAACTAAATGGTCGTGTGTCTTTTCCCCAACTCCAGTCCACAGAAACCTCGTCATACGTCCCTCTAATCTCTGAATACCCTCTAGATATCCTTAACAAGGATAGAAAAAAGAGTGGTATAGATCAAGATGAACATGCTTGGATCACGATGAACCTGCCTCCAAGATAGACATGCTTGGTAGATAGACATGCTTGGTAGAGAGATATGCTTCTAGATAGACATGCTTGGTAGATAGACATGCTTGGTAGAGAGATATGCTTCTAGATAGACATGCTTGGTAGAGAGACATGCTTGAAGCATATCAGATAACTAGTACTTAGTTTGTTGAGAACAATTATCCACGCAAAAACCTTAACACCAGATAGATGAAGCAGTAAGCTTCCAAATACTTTAGTTAAACCACATTCTGATTGAAATTATTGTGGGTTAAACAGGGAAAGAATAATTTGCAGGTGAAACCACTCAAGGAGTCCAAAGCCTGTACTCTAATGTCATGCTACAGAAAATGTTTAAAGGCTCAAGAAGATCAAGCAAAGAAAGGATATCAACAGTTTCCACATTTAACTTTTTAATATCAAAAAATAGATGTGTAACTTTCATTATTTAAGTTTAAAACTCCTATATCACTGTATCAGTACCATGATATGTAAACCAAATACCAAAACACATAGTTCTCCTCCCTATGCGAAAGGCATGATAAATCTTAGATTTAAGATGAAATTGGTCTAACGTATAAACCGAAAGGCAAAACTTTGAAGTATCTAAAGCTTATACCTCACCATAGGTTCGGAAAGTCCAACAGATTCTACCTGATGAAAAATCAAGAAAATAAATATTCCCTTCATAACATCCAACAACAACCTGGTCAAGTAACACATACGAACCAGTTAGAGATTTTCCCATGTGAAACTGCATATCAGATAACAAGGTAACCACAATAAAATGAATAACCTGGCAAAAGTCACCAACAATTGCTGCTGAACACTCAACTCTTCCTTCTAGTTTGATTTCCCAACAGACAGAACCACTAACCAATATTATATAGTAACACATAAAGTCAGTTAGAATCATTTGAAAGCTCAAAAGTCTCAAACTAGATAATGTACTGGGCAAAACCCACACTTATAAGAGATACATGTAGATAATTGAAATTTCAGCCAAAGCTTCCAAGTCTATATCCACCAAACTGTAGCACCAATAAGATCCCATTTTAATTGATAGTATCCATAGAAACAGAATCAAGAAAGCCTACCTAACTTAGCAATCTAGGAAACCTCGCATGTCATGCAAGAAAGCCTACATAACTTAGCAATCTAGGAAACCTCGCATGTTATGCAAGAAAGCCTCCCTACAGAATCAAAAAGCCTCCCTACACAATCAATGTCCCCCTTTTTTCGGCCTTGCAATAAAAATCGCATCTAACCAAGTGATATCTAGAACTCTTCCCCACCACAAATGACTGAAAATCGCACACAATTTTCTCAACTCTCCCACCTATATCAATTACAAACTTAAACAAAGATAGAAAATACAAAGTGATACTCAAAAGGCAAGCCTAAAGGAGAGTAACCCAAACCCTAAACAGAAAAGAATGTCTTTCCAGTTCCTCAAATGTTTAGTGATGATCAGCACATGGACTGACACCAACCAAGACTGTCTTGGTGCCTCTTAATGGTATTCTTCTTTCTCTACTTACAGAAAGACTTTCAGGTCCTGAATCGACTTGATTTCTTGTTCATAATGTATTTGACTCCCATACGAGAGGAATCTTTGTAGTTTATAGAGATTTTATGATTGACTAATTAATATTTTTGAGATTATAGGACTGTAGTTCCTAGGTTCTTGCCTTACTTTCTGTTCCCTATACTTTTCCTTCCATTTTATTCCTAAATTCCTCTAGTCTCTATTACTAAGGTTCTTAAACCTTCTCAACAGCTGTCAAAGTTTAGTTGCCCTACATCAAAGATATTCCAGAGGGCAAAAGAGAAAGCAATCAGAATAACTGGAAACCAACTAGTGATTCCATGTGAACTTTCCGTAATTCTTGCAGTGAATTTTGTCTTGTTCCCATCACTTATTGTCTCTATTCTCCCCATTTCTATTGTTCTCTTTCTCTTCTTAATAATATTTCCTTTTCTATCCAAGAAGAAAGAAATAGTTTGAAAGAAAACTACCAGCGAAGAAGGAAATGGACTAGATAATGCAAACAGAAGCATAGCATGGATATTTCATATAAGAAGTTAGTCTGAACACTAGAATATCTGAGCTCAACCTGATAGTAAGGCAGTTATCAGAGTTTATCTAATAGAGTCAAGATTCCTTTTCTTTAAATAAATGAAGAAGCATCATTAAGAAGTTCAAAAAAAATTATAAAAAGACAGAGGATAAAGCCGCATATCAAAAGCTAGACCACTTATCAGCTTCAACAATGCAGTACCACTTATACATGGTAGTTACCAGAAGGAAGACAGAACTCCAGTATTCTACCAAGACAAATGAGAATGCAAATCTAGTGTTAAAACCAAAGCTCAATTACTTTGAAAATGTGATAATGGACTGTACAGGAATGATCATGATGTGTATTTGAATCTTCTCACAGTTTCATACTGATGTTACTTTGTTTTAGTCTTACCTTTTGGCATTAACACAGAAGAATTTATGCGAGTGGGATCCAATAAATAAATAGACATCTGAATTTCTAAAGACAATAAGTGGTGATGCATCGACACAAGACTCCATGTGAACTTTCCATAATTCTTGCATAGAAACTGTTCTATTCCTCGGAAGTTCCATTGACCAGGTTCCGAAAAATTTATCATTCAAATTGTACTCTTCCCCATAGAAAACCTTGTTACACCTACTGAATGAGCACGTAATTGAAGTCTGCGCTAGATTCCACAAAGAACCATCACATGGACTAATACACTTCAGACCAACGTAATTATCAGAATCCACTTTCAAGCGCTTGCGTCTTCCAGCATGACCGTCACTCTTTTCATAAGAAGTCCTCATTAATGGCCCTTCAGGCTTATGACTTGAGAGAAACGGGGTTGCAGAATCCACTGACTCAAACATAGTAGTCTTATCTGATTCGAGATTCAATTTCCCATCATTATTTGTTCTGGAATCCACATCATGCAAATTTTTCCCCAGAAGAGCAACTCTCAGTTCAGATGGAGTTGGAAATTCATATAGCAATCGCATGTTAATCCCTAACTTGTGAGACACATGCGCTGCAAGAATCGAATTACCACCAATTTTAAAGAAATCATCATCATTGGAAATCTCTTCAACCTTTAAAGCATCATGAAAGGCCTGTAAATAAAATTCTAAACTAATGTCACCCATTTGGTTATAGAAAAGGATAAATTACATCTAATGATATATTACTAACTATCAACAAGGATCTAATATATAAACACTAGGATAGGAATTACTTTTATACTAACTTATAAGTCAAGTATAGTAACATGAATAAGAAACTTTAACATTCCATTATTCTTGACTGTGAAAAATAACTGAGTATGCGAGTATTACAGAAGTTATATAACACAGGATATTTCTAGCCTCTTAAACAAAATTATTATATTAACACCAAAGAATTTGACCAAAGAAACTACTTAAGTGAGATTATATGATAACTCAAAATCAATGTTGATTATAGATGTAGAATATATGAACTTCAAAGACTCTGGATAATGGTTTATGCTTTGTGATGTCAGACGTTTGCAGTTGGCTGAAGATTCCATGTGTTCAAGTTTGTGGACATAAGCCGTTAGCAATAGGTGCATGAATGATGAATCTCACAGGCCACCAAAGGAGATCTCAGGCAGTCATTTTCTGGCATATCCAATGGGCACTTCAAGGATATTTCTTTATTATTACAGATATTGGTTTGTTATAATTCCAAACAATTAACTAGCCAAAGAAGAAATCTCTCTTCTTTTTCTATCAGAAAAGAAAGTATTCAGCCTATCTGAGATCACAATCCCAGAAAAAAAGGAAACTTTTACCTTAGATGGAGCTGAAACCTTCCAAAAACACTTATTAAAGACATTATTATAATAAAAAATTTACAATAATTTCAATAGGTGATAATAAAAATAAATAAATAAAAGATGACACAGGCCAACCCAGGCTGCTGCATGAGGCTCCACTTCATGGCCACTACCTGGACCACCCTTAAGGTAAAAAAACCAAGAGATTTTAGGGAAAAAAAATATACACATACGTGACACAAGCTTTGAACAAAAGTAGGACAAACCTTCTTGATGACTTGCAAGATATCACCAGTCTCAGATCCACCACTCACATCTTGAACATGAATCTTTGAATATGTTAGATCAGCCAATAACTTATAATCAACTTTTCCACTTGAAGACATAGGCAAAGATTCCAGAATAGTAAACAGATTAGGAATCATTGCTAACGGAAGCCTCCTGTTCATCCAACTTCTGACTGAAGATACAAATATTTCACTTGACTCGACCCTCTCTTTTGACAGTATAAATGCCTCTAGGAATGTAGGTCCCCTCTGAATTTTACAAGCTACCACAGCAGCATCAGCTACATTTGAATTTGTCCTTAGTGTATTCTCAATTTCTTCTAATGCTATACGTTGCCCATTAAGTTTTATGGTACGATCCTTTCTCCCTAAAAAGAGTAAGTCGCCACTTGGAAGCATTCGGCCAAAATCACCAGTTTTGAAGTATATCTGACCTCCAGAATTATTGGCCAAATGGTTATAAGTGGACTTCTTATGCAACCTCACATAGTCTGAAGACCCGATAGTTGACTTATACAAGTATCCAGTAGAAAGGCAGAGACCACCAACATGTATTTCTCCCTCATTACGTTCATCACCTTCACCAACAAGTACTACATTACAGTTAGAAATAGGCATGCCAATTGGAACACTTGTTAGTCTTTCCATCTCCAAGATTTCCGGCAACCTCTTGCAATCAAAATATGTACAATCTCCAGCTACCTGAATTCAAAACTCAGGATTCTTTCCATAAAATATATATGTTGATATATGTTGTGGAAGTAGTTAAATGATTTTAGTGAACATTAACATGCAAAGAAAGCAACATCTTTCTTTTTAGTCTTAAATTCAGTGCAACATAAATATTATGTTACTAAAATGGGATTGAAATAAAAGAAGAGAAGAATAAATGACTGCCTTGTGCAATTTATGGTAAAAGGGGCAAAGAAACACATGTCCAGCCCCCAAGAGTGCATGCCTAAATATTTGTTACACAATTATAAAGTCGAAAGGCACAAGACAAAGAACTCATTAAGATAAAATACCTCTAATGACAAGTACATCCACTAGCCTCATGAATTATTCCTCCAGGTGCATTACAAGTCCTTATGTAATGGCATTAATTTAAGAACATCAGAAGTTCCAAAAACAATCTCTTCCCCCCAACCCCCAAAAACCCAAACCAACAATACCGTTAAATTTCAACCTATCGCTCACAAATAGATATGCATGACAAACGCTTATCATAGATATAGGCATACTTGACAAATTTTTATGATAGATATATAATTACAAAAATACCCTTGATTGATCAAATATGCTTATAACCTAATTCCACAGCCTATTTATTAAATATTAACCCCAGTCATTCAATTTAATAATTTTTATAAATTTACACCAAACAGTGAAGTAGATACTTGAGCAATTCAACATGTTCTACCTTTTTTTTTAAATAAATGATAATGTTCTACTGAAAAATGACTATGAAATACAATAAAATTCCCACCTCTGTACTTCCATACAAATTCAGAATAGAGGTCTCGGGTAGTAGATTGTGGAGCATATGCCACAGAGATAGAGGTAGGACTTCACCGCTTAGAATTAACATTTTTAATGAACTTGCAATCCGCGCATTATTTTGTCTTAGCAAAGCAGGAAGAATTGCTCTGATCAGCGATGGAACAGCGATAAGCCTACTGATAGAGTAAGCCTTCAAAAACAATCCAGAACTGTTAATCAGCAATTAGGTCAAAAAAAATGTATTTTCATTAGAATCATAAAATATATTTACATCCATTAGCTAGACATGGATTTTATTTTTTTTTTTTTGAAATAATAGCTAGACATGGATATTTAATAATCTGGGTCACGATTATGCAATATTTTTGGCTTTCTGAACTTGATGTTTCTCGACTTTCTTTACTGGGTAACCAGGGTGTTCAACCATTCTCAGATTGAGTCATCTCATGTTTGAGCCACTGCAGATCTTGAGCTATTATGCTTCTTGATTGCTTCAGGCTCCAGTTATTTCAAGTGTATCTTTTTTATCTTTAAATCATATTTAAGTTGGGTCTTTTGGGTTTACACCAAGCTCGCATCAGCTCTTTGTATTAGCATGATTTTCTTAAGAAAACTTATAAATTAATCCAGACGATAGCAACAATTAGTGGTTTGAATCATTTCTGGTTTTGATTTTGTTAAAGAATTGAACCAAGTATCCTAAACATTTACCTGATAAAGCCCAATTTTATTATTTCTGGTTTTGATTATTGAAATTTAGTATTCTGAAAGTTTACTTGATAAAGCCCAAATTATATCATTTGTACTCTGAGCACCTCTCTAACTAATTTATTACATTTGGCTCGAAAGGAGGATACTCTTGTGGACAATTGTTTCACTATGGTTGAGCAAGTGGTACGGTAGTTAGAAATTATGAGGGCCTTGAATGGGAGGAAGAGGAATAGATCCAGTAATGGCATAGTACTGGACTATGCATATTTCCTACTCTAGGGAAGACAAACTTGCCTGGAAGCTTTCTTCAAAAAGCTTTTTCTCAATCAAGCCATCCCAAACATTACCTAGCCTTCCCTTGACTCTTACTGTTTTCCTTGCAAGCAGATCTGGAGGAAGAATGACTCATCTAGAATAGCTTTCTTGCCCCCAAAGTTGCTTGCTGGCAAATTCTCACTATTGATAACCTCAATAAATATGGTATTTGTTGTTTGGTAATTCTTTTTCTTCATTTTTATAGATCACCAGCATTAGAGTTGTAGAACTACAATTCAGGAGAGAATCCTAATCTACAGAGTCTCCTATGAAGGAAGAAGATTTCCACCAGAAATTATAGGATCCGAGTAATAAATCCAGACTCAAGATTTCTGGTTCCTACATTCTGGGAAGTAAATCTTTCCAGAATCATTCTTGTTTAGGACTTCTGCAGGAAGTAAATCTTCTTACAATAAATCTCATTTGAAACTTTCTACAGTAATATTTAAGTGAATGGATGCTCTCTAAGCAAGAATGCTCCAGAGACTCGAGACCATTTTTTGCTAAGATGAATTCTATCTTATCGTTTGTTTTTTTCCTTTTTTTTTATCATTTGTGGCCTATGATTTTGAACTTCTTAAAATGCAATGGCGAATAGCTGGTTCAGTGGCAGATGAACCGTGGGCAGGGCAAAGTATCTTGGGTGACGGGAAAAAATATTTCTATTTTCTCCTCTGGCTGCTTTATGGGTCTTTCGGAAGGAAATGAATAGAAGAGCTTTTAAAGATGTTTTTTTTTCCTTTATAGAGTCCAAACACTGGCTCCAGATTCTTTGTTTTTTTCTTTTTAAAGGCCATCTGCTCAATTTGGTGGGAGATCTAGGGGATTTCATTGTTATCCGCACCAACTTGTAAATTCTATCTTTGTTCTTTCTGTAATTGGCTTGCATCTTTTTGTGCTTTTTGATGAATGCTTGTTTTCATCTCCAAGGAAAACCTCGGCACCTACAATGCAAGTAGTATCTTTCGTATATATAGAATTAACATGAAGTAGCTTAGTAAATGAGAAAACAAAATTACGAAGTACAAGTTTTTACTGTATATAAATCAACATGAAGTGACTTAGTAATTGTGGAAAAGGAAAATGTTGGTCAGCTACATGTGGAAAAGGAAACTGTTGGACAGCTGCCTATTAAACTTAATTAGCATAAAATCTGTATTTTCCTAATTTGACTGAAATCTGTAGCTTTCCTAAATCAGTGGGACTCCTATACTTTAGGCCTATGTTTTGGGAAAGTCAGTATTCTCCTTTAAGTGTACATGCTGTATAAATACCTTGAATATTGTTTATAATAAACAGAATCTTTTCTCTCTATTTTCCCTCGTAATTGATGTTCTGTTTAATGCAAAAACCACAAGGAATACAATTAATGTGAACAAGATATTGACAATACCATAGCTTCAGCTTATCAAACAATGTTCTTTTATAATCGATTTAAACAGAAAATAGAAAGTTGTTTGACAGACAGAGCTGCATGAAAGAAGTAAACAAGCAAAAAACAAGCATCTGTACCTGTAAAAAATCAATGATAGAAAGTATATTCTGTCTCAGCTCAGAAAGAGGAGGAATAACTAATGTACAAGCAGTAAGACCAGCACTAAGAAATTCTTGCAGGTGATCAATAAAGCTTATTGATGTCTTGAAAAGTAAATTTTCTGCACCATGTAGCGGATACAATTCTTGCATCCATAGAAAGCGGTTTAAAAGACCTTCACATAAAAAGAAAATGAGATCATGTCATCAAATTTACAATTGATTTTAATAAGACATGCAAAAAGAAACAGGAAACCTGCAAAGTGGAAAAGAGTGTATCTATTTTATATAGTCAATGTTCACTGGTAAATACGCAATGAGCACGGCTGTGTTAGGAAAGTCTAAAGGTTGAAAGGGAAGAGATTAAGAGGGGAAGAGAAAGAAGAGAAAGATGAAGAAAGGGGAGAGAAAAAAAAGGAAGAAAGGAAGTGAAAGGAAATGAAGGAAGGGAGAGAAACCATAATTTAGAGAAAGAAATTATTCAAATTCTATTCCAATTACCATCATCATCCTTGTTACATCCAATCTCTTTATATAAGCAAAACAGAGGTCAGGAAAGCCAATAGCACCCTTGGCAACTAGAATAAGTTGGCCACTTGGAATTACTAGCTTTCCAAGGAATGCTGGGGCAAGTAAGCAACTTGTGGTTGCCACCTTTTTTAGCCACCACCAGAGAACACAAGTCGGCAACTTGCAGTTGCCACACAACTATTCGTCTAATATGTATATTTTTCTTTCTCCAATAGATTACATCTTTCATTAATAGAAGTTTTTTCATGTAATGAATAATAGTTCCGGCTGTCCACTGTTTGAGCCATCCAACCCTTCATACCGAAGTACTAATACAACTTGTGGTTGCCACCTCTTTTGGCTACCGTAAAAGGACCCAAATTGACAAGTTGTGGACTTTGGGTCATTCAGATCCAGGTACCTAAAGGATCAAAACAAAATAAGGTGCTATAATTCCACCACTGATAAAGATGTCACCTCATCCTAAAGAAAATGAACAAAAAGATACAACCAAAATAACTCATAAATCTAAGCAAATATTCCTAAATAGCCTATATATGTCCTAATGGACAATATAACGTAAGAATATACAAAGGTTATACTAATTATTAGTAGAACACTTCCTAATGCTAAAAGCCTCCGTATTATTTTGTCTCTGTCTGGCATCACCTTGTCAGAAGGCAATCATTTTTTAGGGCAATAAACACAATTGATAATGACAAGTATCTCCCCTGATTGTTGTTGTGTGAGTCCATTCAGAAAAGAATAAAATATTACAAAAAGGAAGGAGAATGGTAGAAAAGAAGTCCACGAATAAGAAGAGAGAAGGGAGAGACAAACAGTTCAGTTGTAAAAATTCTCTGCTTTTCTCAAGCAAACACAAAATACAAGCCCCTAATTGTGGTTCTAGAAGAAGCCATAGTAAGTTGAAATTAAAAAAAAAAAGTGATCATCTTTTACTGTTAAAAGGTCATATTTTAGAAAAATAGACCAGCATAAGAACCACAGCATGTGGCCTATTCACTCAATGACAAATTCCAGTCTGCATCAACAAGCTGCCACAAACAAAGAAGAGCATTGTAGCATAATTGCTCGTTTCTCTTCAGTATGCAATGCCAGGCCCTAAGAATATTCTACTGAAGCTAAGGTAAAAGGGTATATAATAAAATCTAATTTTCTATTTATCGAAATGACATAAGCAAAACAGAGAGAGATTATACAGAGTGAAGCCCATAAGTTATTCGCAACGGATAAATAAATGTCTAATTATCAGCAGTAGCAGTATAGATCCTTTCTTCATATATAAAAAGCAAGGGAATGTAGAATAAAGAATATTATATTGAAAAAAAAAATACCCAGAATTTCAAAAATAAATATAGAATAAGAAACAAATCATCAAGGTGAATATTATAGGCAGAACAAGAATTGCAAGTGTCCAGTTTACAGCTAGACAATAAATCATCTACTGGTTAAGTAATGAGATAGTCAAGTGTCAAGAACACTTGACCATTTTGGTTTTCTCAGAAAAAAAATAGGAGCAGCTAACATTTTTCAGTAAAACATTTTTCTTTTCATAGCAAAAGAAGTATTATTCATAAAGCACTAGAAGGTGCAAACCATGTATAAAGTATGATTTTTCCAATTAGTTACATCTGAAAATATCAAAAGAGTTCACAATGAATCTCTCTATCATTAGTAATCACTAATCCATAAATTTGGTTGTCATTGCAAGAACACCGCTTTTATCTACATTACATCTCACTGTTTTAGAAATAAGTAATATGCAAGTTAGAGTAACACCTAACCTTGCTCGGTACCGAATACAGCTTTAGGCTGTCCAGTTGATCCTGATGTGTACATCAGATAGGAGAAGATTCTTTGTGTTTCCTTCTTACAAGGCCAAACGAGGCTTGACTCATTCATTGGCTCTTCAACATTTTCTTCCAATGAAAAGCATAAGACAGAACAACAGGCACTCTCCATAAGCCAGTGTGATTTATCAAGTGTCTGACAACCATTTTTACCAAAAGAAGAGCCACATGTGATAATAAGATCAGCACCTGAACGAGAGATAATAGATAATATTCTATCTTTGGGCCACAAAGGATCTAGTGGCAAGAAAGCTTCCCCACACCTCAGAACAGAAAGAACAGCAATTATGTATTCAACTGATGGCGGCATATAGATTCCCAATATTTTAGGCGTAGACATACTAGTCTCAAAAGTTTTCTCTAACTTCCAAGTAACCGGCCCAGAATGCTCAGGTACATGAATAGGGAAATCATGCTTGTCAGCCTCGCCAGAAATATCATTACCTGCAATCATGTAAAGAGTGGTAAAACTGTTCACTAGCCATCACTCAGTAAATATCACAGTTCACCATACATGATAAAAAAGATGTTTTGGGGGAAGAAAAATGAAGAAAAAATTGAGAGAAAGAGAAAAAGAGAGAGAGAGAGAAAAGAAAGAGGGTCTTCTTAGCATTGAACATTTTACAATATTCTTTTTATGCACATAATAGCCAAGCATGCAACAAACTTTCATATTATTTATGCTACTGCCATTTTTTATGCTTTTCTTCATCTTTTTCTTCTCTTCATGGCCTGTAGGTCTAGGAACTCACATGGCTCTTCTTCTTAAGGAGGAGCTAAAGGAAAATCTGGTAATAGAAAGGCAATGAGTGGCATGAACCCTTCTTCATTTCCAGTATACCTCTTCCTGAGATTTTGTTGTGTAGAAAGGGACTTGACACAGCTAATTTAAGATTATTATATTTGATGGTTCTCTTTGTAATGTAATTCAAAATCAAATCATCATATTTTGTTTAACTGAAGCACCACTAAAAGGGATAAGTGTGAGACTGCTGGCTCCATTAACATGGAACTGGCAAGCAGATAACATACCGTTCTCTCCGAACGTTTACGTGGTTCCTGATTATCAGTCAATCACTTCAAAAGGCAAGTATCATTTTTTTCCTTGATAAAAGAAGAAAATTTATCGAAGAAAAGACGAGAGAAAATTCAAACAGAAGATAAGACATCATCCTAAAGCCGCCTAAAATCAAAAGATCAGGACATCAAAAAACAAAAAATAATCAATACTGCATAACAAATCTGATAGGCAGACTCCTAATATGTCCAATTTGCTAACCTTGTTGGGATCAATTCATATTACTTCTCAGAATGATACCAGAATATGGACTTTGGAACCCTTGATTTTATAACCCTGGAAGTCTTTTTTTATCATCTCACTCAACACAATCTATTACTACTTTTCCATTGCCAAGGAGTTTCGGAAAGTTCCAGTTCCGTCAACTGTAAAAGTGTTTGTATGGACTGCTCTTAATCACAGACTCAGCACTGATAAGATGTTACAAGTCCTTCGGCCTCATTGAGCTCTATCTCCAAACATCTGCATCATGGGCTACAAAGGACGGGAGACATATTCCAATTTATTCATACATTGTGAGACGGCCTGCAAAATGTAAACCTAAGTGTTTGATCTGCTTGTTTTATGTTGGATCATTCCTTCTACGGTGAAGTGTTTGACAGCCCCTCACCAAGAAGTTTTCACTGCCTTTTTGACCCCATCACCTTTCATGTACACACCCAAAAAGCCCTAAATAGTTGGAGGTGTGACCCACTAAATACCAAAGATTTTCAACATTTTCATCCAAATCTTCAAAGCAATCTCACAAGGAGAAATAAATGGGAGTGTATTTCTCCTCCCTTTAACAGATAAAGCAGATATCTGGAGACAGCGCGCATTGTGGGCATCGGATTTATAGCATCTCGTTGGTGTTGAGCCTTTTTTTATGCACAGCTATCCATGTAAATATCTTTACCTTTAAATGGAACAGGAGCTTTCCAAAAAACTATGGCAATGTGAAATTGGCTAGAGGTCTGGTGTTTAATAAGGTATTCAAAGAAAAATTTACAAGTATATGCGCCCGATGGATCCAATTCCAAGCAATGTGAATCAATTCTAACTAGGCCAAAAGAGTTTGCATTTCATGGACCTTCCTGTATGATAAATTGTGGGTAAAATAAAAATTCCAAGCAATGTTTCCCTCACTGTTTAAAATAAATTCAGAGACCAGTGTGTTATGTCTTGAAGATAGGTTAAACAGTCAGGAAACTTGTTTGGCTAAAGGTTGTTCTCCCACTCAAATGTCTTCCCAGAATCCCACTCTAGATCCATCTCCCACTTGAGTCTGGTAAGAGGAAGGAACAAAAGAGGTTCTTGGAAGATGACTTTCCAAGGACTACAGTGGGATATGGATCTTCCTGTTGAGTTATCCCATCCGTTCTTGTTGGGATATGTACTCATTGCATTTTGTTCTTAGTAATATTTATTTTTGTGTTTAGAAAAACTATCAGCCTTCCACCCCTCCCACCTTTCACATTTCTAACAAAATAACAAGAATGCAAAGTAACCATGAGCTTTATCACTATCACTATCTCTTCGTACAAATTCAAACTCCTAAAGCAATTAAATGATGAAAAAACAACACACATTAATCCAAACCTATCAAACAGCCTAGTTCACGACTTCCAAGCCTCTTCACACTAAAGAAAAGATGGCATGAGTCTCCCCCTTCTTAAGACACATAAATTTGTGAAAGAGTATGATTAGGCCTATGAATTTGGAGCAAGTCACTAAAGTTGAATCTATAATACAATAGTCCAAGTAAAACTTTATTGTTAGAAGGAACTTTTACTTTCCAAACCACACTGGTGAAAGAAATTTGGTAACAAGTAGAAGCATGGTGTAATACCCAAGCCCGTAATTTGATCCAAGATAATTTTTCTCATTTATAAAATATATACAAATAATTAAAAAATTATTTTAATTTAAATTTTATTAAATTTTTGAAAAAAAAATAAATTAGAGACAAAATTTAAAATAAATTTAGAAAAAAATTGGTGAAATTGAGAATAAGATGGGTGTTTTTAAAAAAAAAATTGAAAACGGGGGGTAAAATAGCAAAAAGGGAAAGTTTAATCACGTGAGACAGCCGAGTCAGTAGCCACGGCGAACCAGAGCACGCTACGTGGCAAGCATGCTGACATCGGCACCATGCGGGAAGCCACACAGGTAATCGACATGTCTGGCGATTCGCCGGTTTAGATCACATCCCGCACGCACAAACGGTCCAGATGCATTTCCTCTTGAGTCACGATCGGACGGATGGGGTTGATCGCGATGGACAGCTCAGATTCGTCCACGCAATCAGTGTAATCAGGAAATCATCAAACAGTCCTCCTCGCTCCACGTCGACTCAAACGAACGGTCTGGATCGAACAGATACAAGTATTTAAACTCCTCTTCACAGGGAATCAAAACTCTAGCCGACAGAAGGGTGACCAGAGAAGAAGAAGAAGGGCGGTCGGGGAAAGAACCAGACGCCGGAGAAGGAGACCACCCACCATCGCTGCCGCACGAAGCCACTATCGACACCAAAATAGGTATTTGTTTTCCCTTCCCACTCGGAATTTGATCCCGAGTCTCCTTATGCCTAAATCGAAGCCAAATGATCGATGGGTGAGACAGAAACCGTGGGCAAAACTCGGCCGAACCACCGCGACCAAAACCCAAAACCCTTTCCGATGGACCCCTTTCCGTTTCCCGTTTCCCGTTTCACTTAATTTTTTAACCACCGTGTTCACCGACCTTTTCTAGTACAAGTTAGCCGAAAAGGAACCCCAGCTACGAAGGAGAACCAACAGAGCTGTTGCACCCAGAAACCCCCTTGCCGGTAGGTTTCAGTTTTTTATCTTTTTCGGCCAACCGAGACTCCCTAACATGTTTTTTTGCAGGGTTACGTATAAAATCAGCCAACACCGGCCTAAAACGGCTGAAACCGGGCAGACCGAGATGAACCACCACCATAGGCAACGGAGTCGGCACCGGAGCACGGCGGTGGCGCCGTGCCGGAACTCTAAAATTTACCAGAAAAGTTTTAAAACGCCTATTCTGGCCTTTCGGGATATTTTTGGATACTTGACGAGTGTTTTAATTTTCATAAGAAAAATTCAGTAAACCCAGTAACCGCTAGGAGGTGCAGTAAATAGTACAAGTTTTCAAACATCGATACGGGACAAGAATCTCTCCCCCTATTCCCTGTTATGTAAATTGAAATTTAATAATCGATAATACTGTGTTTTATGAAAATTAGAAAACTCTGAGTAATTACTGGTAACTAATAGAGTCGGAACCAGTCAATTCACATTTGTCCTAATTTACCGTTTATATTTCCTATACTGCTTACAATGCTTACTATTATGTTGTGTATACTAAATTAATAGTTTTAATTGTTTTCTCGATTATTTGGTTTACCTCACTGCATATCCCCCATTTGTTGGTTTGTTTTACAACAAATGTCTCAATTATGTTTTTTAATGTACGTGTCGTCTATTTGCATGACTTACTATTAATCTGTAAATATAAGATATTGGTATATAACTGGTAATTGGTTTGTGGTGTGATTCTATGTAAAAAATGCTTATTGGGTACCCTAAGAAACGGTGAACGGACCCAATATATAGAAAACCCTACTGTGGATATTATTTCAGTCGGACAGGGCTGAGAAATGTCATACCAAAAGGGTTTAGGAGATATGGTTCACCCTCATACCAGACGGGATATCGAGGCGATGGTATGTTTGACGCCCATTATCGGACGGGGCATGGGAACGGTCAGGTTAATTGAAAAATCTAGATATTGAATTCATGAGTAGGGGGAATATCCCTATGAACCCCCAAAGGTTCCACTAAGGAGGTTAAAAGGATAATTGTCTTTCTTGTTCACTCGTATATGAAATCATAATATTATATAAGAATTTATCCTTATAGATTGATTTTGGAAAACTCATAACGGTAAGTATAAAATAAACGGTTTGATATTAAATGAATTTACTTAAATTACGGGATCTATTAATTGTTTTATAATTTTTACCAACCTTCGGTTTCTGTATCAGTGATTAGTATGATATTCTTATTAAACTAGTGTATCTCACCCTTCTATTAATCATTTCAGATCAAAAAGATCAGGACCCAGATCCTGATCAGCAGGAGGGTTGTGAGTAGATAATAGTGGATTTTATCAAGTATTAGTGGAGGTTAATCCTCTAGGACATTTATTTACTTATTTTTAATTATTTACTCGTTTCCTTTTACTAATCGCTGTACAAGAGATATTTTCGTAACCCTATTGGATATTTTAATTTACTGTGTAAGGAATATAAACCCTAATATTACTGTTTGTTTCCGCATTTAAAGTATGAATTCGTTTCCTTTAAGTTTCGAGTCTTTAC